GCAGCCGTGTACCGAGGGGAGGAGAAAATGGGTTGGGGTTTTTTTTGTATTACAAGTCTGGTGGTATTCAGTCCGGACTGGGGTACCCATGGGTGCTATGTTATACCGGGTGCCCCTTGGGGGATCAGCAAACCGATCACCAACCGATCACCAACCGATCACCAACCGATCACCAACCGATTCTCAGCCTGAAAGCAAACGCATTTGTTTTTGAAGCTGCGAAAGTCGGTCACTCGGTTTGTGCCACGACGGTCGCTTTGCGCCCTCAATCTAGCTAGCCCCGCCTACCAAACAAAACCGAACCGAACAGATCGAACCGACCATGCCAAAGGGCACCCCGTATTAAGTGCTCTGGTGGCACAGTTTTCACAATGTCCCTTCATTCGGGTTAAGACACATGGATCGTCAGAACTGATTTAACACATTCAAATACATGCAGCGATATGCACGAACCTTTTGTGCTGCTCCGTCTTCATCAAAAAGACAAAAAATGGCAGTATGACGCCTTGAGTACTTAAAGCTAACCACGCTGTTGTTTATTTAAGAGTCACTTTATCTGGATTGTCCGTTACCCAGTCATGTAATCCCTAGAATTAATTTTTCAAATCCCATAGAAATAAGCCTTATCGTTTAAGTAAACAGACCGTTGAAATTTCCCCCGCGTATCACGTGTTTTAAAAACCACGCACACGCTGTTGATCTCTCCAACGCGTTGTCTGGAATTATTCCCTATTCGTGCTCCTTGCTCGAGCTCCTCTTCAGGAATATAGCCAAAAAGGAAACGGGGGGGAAAGTGGTGGGAGGTGGAGAAAGAGAAGGGTGGGAGCTAGAAAGACACAGTTAAAGAGTCAGCGGTTGGGAAAGAGTATTCTTAGGATTTTCGACTGGAATTGTCGTAGTCTGCAGCAGAGAGGGCTCGTGACTGAAACCCTATGTTACGCCATTACGGAGCAGACATCTTATGCCTCCAAGAAACCAGACTAGGAGACAGGAACTTCCATGTTGCCGACTTTGCAACGACTCTTTACAACAGGGAAGGGCATGGACAGGTCACCCTGATACGATCAGCAATCAGACATCAGGAATTGGATGTGAGTCGATGGGCGTTAGAAAACCTATACCTCCTTGCAGTGAAGCTCACTGGCCAGCCTGTAGGAAATGCTGTCAACGTCTACGCCTGCAACGGGATAGTCACTGAGGAAGAGTGGGCCAAACTTGGCGAGACGGAGGAAACGCTACTTGGAAAAACAATCTCTTGTGGCGACTTCAACGCGCGAGGGAGCGATTGGGGAAACACAGTGGTGATAAACCCCCAAGGGACGAGACTGGAAAATGCCCTGGACAGATGTGATCTCACCTGCATCAACAATGGCAGCATGACCAGACTAGCCACAAGAGATGGGGGCTCCGACAGTGCTGTAGATCTTGCACTCGTCTCATAGAACTAACAACAGACTGTACATGGAGAGTATTACACAACTATTGCAGCGATCATATCCCATGCACAGTGTTTGTAAAGCGAAGAAGAAACAGCAACCATCAACAACAGAAACGAGTCTTCTTCTACCCCGCGGAAGGCAACGACCCCATCAGTGTACTGCGAAAGAGCTCCAGGTCACCCAGAGTACAGCATAGAGTAGTGGCACAGCAGCCACCATGGTGGAATGAAGAGACTGGGGCATTGTGGAAGATCAAACGCCTGGCGCTGAGAAGACACGAGAGGGACAGATCAAACGTGCAGCTGAAAGCTGAGAAAAAGCTAGCTTATCTCAGATTTGATGAGGCAGCAAAAGATACCAAGGACCTAGCATATGACAACTTCTACCGGGGCGTGAACAGTGACAGGGCCCAGTATCAGTTCTGGAACTTCTACAGGTGCTTGACTAATAAGAAGAGCAAACAAGATATCCCTCATTTCCAACGAGAGGATGATATGTGGATGCGTACTGATGAAGAAAAAGGCCGTGCTCTGTTTAAGAGATACCTAAGACAAACTGACAAGAAAGATGAGGACAGGAGAAAACAGCTGCCCAACAGGATCCAACAGGACTACAATTTGTGACACACGAAATGTTGCATAAATATGTCCAGGAAGCATCCAACACTTCTCCTGGTTCTGACAGAATACGTTATGGCCACATGAAGAACATGGAGGAAGGACAGACAATGGCACTAGCTGAGAGGCTAAACGAAAGCCTGTGGACTGGGGAGATACCTGAAGATTGGCCGGACAGTCACCTGTCTTCAGTTCCTAAGCCAGACAAGGACCCAAGCAAGATTGCCTCATATCGCATAGTGACCATGCAAAATACCGTTGGGAAGCTGCTGGAGAAAATCGTGGCGCGCAGACTGGCAATAGAGCTGGAGGAAAAGAACGTCCTACCGCCGGAACTGGGCAGCTATAGAAGAGGAAAGACCACATGGATGAATGCTGCTACTCTTGCATCCGACGTATATGATGGCTTCGAACGGGGGGAGAAACTCTGGTAGCAGCACTTGACCTGGAAGATGCCTAGAACCGAGTTCAGTACGACACCCTCATGAGGACTCTAGTCAGCCTGAAGGTAGATCCACATTTGGTGCAAAGGATTGGGGCGCGCTGCTCAAACGAAAGGTAGCCCTACGCCTTGGTGGCTGGGCTTCACAACCTACCGAGATCCCACCAGAAACCTGCCGGTTCTGTTCAACGTCTATACAATAGGGATAACATCCAACCAGCTGGGGGGGCCTGGACGTGTACTCAGTTTTGCTGATGATGTGCTGGTGTACTTAATAATCGAGAAGTAGAATTGCTGCTTTACACAACGGTACCAAGATAGTCTGTGTTCTTTCATAAAGGCTTTAAAATAGCGCTATCACAAAACATGTCACATTATCACAGTAGAAACAAATGGCGATATGCACATCATAAAATAAACCAAGAGTACTGTGTGTAACAAGGTCTAACCAGAGAGGGGTCTAACTATACGCTCATGAGAGCCCCCCCCCCCTCCCCCCAAAAAAATCGTTTTGCGTGAACAAGGGTCAAGGACGTTAATAGCTGGCTGGTCAACTCTCTTCAGCACCTGTTGCTTGATAGGAACTTGACCTCAGAGACCTACGTCCTTCAACTTTGCTCAGCTGCATTCTGTCTGTCAGGCAGACGGGACAGCTCAGTCCGTGCCCTTGTTTCAAATCGTTTTACACCTCCATAGATTTGAGAACCATAGATACGGGGTACATGGAAGCGGAACCAACAAATTGGCAACAAACAAAAAACAAAGAATATTAATCAGCAGATAGGAAAAAGAGGCTAAAACAGCACCTGGACATGGATGGCTGGTGCCTCTATAAATAAATCATTGATGGTCAAGGTCGACCTCCAAAGATACAATTAAAGTTTATTCATAAATCTAAGTCATGCTGATGTCAAAAACAATAGCCAAAGACAAATTAAAATTTATTGAAGCAAAAAATGTGTTTTAAACAATAGATCTAGATCTATGCCTATTCTCCCAAGTGCTACTAGCTGGCAGGAATCATCAAGACCATCACGTACATAATACAACATGATACAAGGTATACCACTCAATCACAACAACGTGATACAAGATATACCACTCAATCACAACAACGTGATACAAGGTATACCACTCAATCGCAACAAGGTATACCACTCAATCACAACATGATACAAGGTATACCACTCAATCACAACATGATACAAGGTATACCACTCAATCACAACAACCCGTTCTTGGTGTGCACAAGGTAAGAACGATATATCTACATATCCCCATGTGTAGTCGATTACTCAATGAATCATGACATCAGCTGACAACTGACAACAAGTTAGATATCTTGGAGGTGGCGAGTTTCTTCAGCATTGCAAGCCAAGGCCAACGTGGAACTGAAAGGGATACAGCACCTTTGTTTGTTTTAGTAGAGGTTTTACGGCGCTCGCAACTGCATAAGGTCATATGAGTGCCAGAAGATTAGAGGTGTTACAAGAGAGTAACAAACAAAAAAGCAGGAGGGGAGATAAGGACGATAGATGTTTGATAGAAAAGAAGAAGCAAACCACACCAGAGCACCCGCCAACCACCCGCAGCAGAAAGAGCGAGATACTTGATCAAATAGACTGTCCCATTTGGGAATGGACCTCGTGTCTCTTGCAGTGATAAAGAACCAAACCATTTCACCACATTTTAATTCCAATACGCCCCCTTTAACGTAAAGGGGGTTTTCTGAGAGGTTCAGAACACAAGAATGTTAAAACCAACTTGCTCAACATGTGACATGTGAAAACCAACTTGCTCAACATGTGACATGTGAAAACCAACTTGCTCAACATGTGACATGTGAAAACCAACTTGCTCAACATGTGAAAACCAACACATTTTAATAGATGTATAACGGTGCAAAAGGTAAAGATAGTTTTTCTGAGAGTATGATTCCTTGACAAACAATTCTTACCTACTAGGTAGTGATACACATACACACACACATACACCCC